CAAGTTTTACGAAAATCCGACGAGCAGGAACCGAGATAGCGTTTTAGGCCACGCCCGCCACCTTGGTTTTTCGAATTTTCGAAATTAGACTAAAAATTCGAATTTAATCGATGGAATGGGAACCGATGTATCAATTTAGGCTACGTCCGCCGTCTTAAATTTTCAAATTCAGAAAATTCAACTTGAAACGCATCATACCCAAAATCTAAGCTCAGATTCGGCTTCCTCGTGAAAAATCGATGCCATTTCATGTATCATAATGTTACCATAACATAAAGAAAAGAGGGTAATCGTAGGCGTAAAGGTTCTATCAAAGCCGGCCGGTATGCGGAAGTAGGCACAGAATTCAAACGTTTGAGGTACGCCGCCAGGCGCCGGGCGCCAAGCATTTGGTTCGTCCGTTTCCGAGAAAACAAACTTCTTCTTACTCATCAGCTGACCCACTCCGAATCACCCATGTTGCCACGTCGGACTGATATTTTAGAATCTACACGCCTACGTTAATCTCTTTCCTTCATGATATGGTGACTTATGATACATGAAATTGCATCGATTTTTCACGAGGAAGCCGAATCTGAGCTTAGATTTCGGATATTATGCGTTTTAAGTCAAAATTTCTTTTGTCTATTTTAAATCACTCAGGAAAATTTGCGGAAACTCATTAGGTAGAATAACAGTGAGGATTATTTTAAAAACATTGATCAAAAATAAAACATTGACGGTATTTGAATCAATTAATCTCCGAGATAACTTGAACACGGTTGTTTTACGACTTTTTACGTATGTTGTTTTCTTCCGCATTGGTTGTCGGCAGCGTAGCGGCCAAAGGCCCCTGGTACTAATAATAGTTTTCAAAATCAATTTTTTTCTACATTCAAAATTCTAAGGAAATGGCAGAAATGTATCAATTGTTACTAATGTTTTAACAATGCTTCTTGTCAATTGTATGCTGTCGTTAAGCTAAACATCCCAGGTTTACCAGTAGGCTAGGCATGCACTATATTTAACACCATGGCAAGGCCTCAGTACTTTAGAGGGGTACTTTAGAGAGTGCCACCATTCATCATTTCCTGCCACAGGAAACATTTCTGTCAAGTTTTCATTTTAAATTGAAGCAAATTAATGAGTTTAAGACTGATGACTCCCGACACTTTGATGCTACTTTGATCGGAATTGGTTCGGGAATTTGATCGTGTATCAAGGGCTTTAATTACTTCAAAGAATAGTTGGAGGAGCGCGCTACTTAGGTATGCTCATACGAGCCGCAAATCCTTGCATTTATTTTTAGGTCCGAGCCGTGCAGCTTATAGGGCTGGACCCTAAAGTACCCTTATTAGTAACTCACCCTGCTTCAGCCGTCCAAGGCTCAGCACCTTACAGTCTGAAGTTTGCCTCATTCGAGGTAAGTACAGTACTTTAGGGCTCAGACCTACAGTGTAAGTTCCAACGCTAAAGTTGCTGCTCCAGTGTTTTTAAAATATTCGCAGTTCATGTTGTGCTACTTACTATATCGGACGCCTGTTGTTTGAGGTCTGTGCAGATGCATTAAGACAGAGAAGTAAAGAATAAAACTATGTACGTCATTTTTTCAAGGATTTTTTAGCCTCTGAAAGTAAATTTTTTTCACAAGTTTTGTATGGGATCAGGGAGAAGGAAAAATGAAAAAGACAACACGCTTCAGGAAGGTAAAATCATGCCACTTATTATTTCTTTATCGGTTTGAAAATGAATGTTTGAAGAATAATATAAGTTCACTAGTATGAAACCTCGAGTAGCTATTATTACAAACAATTCTTACATTTTTTTTCTTTTTTTTACGACAAATCAAACGGTCTTATTTGATACTTTATAACTTCCTTTGTGTCAATTACCCTCAGATGTGTAAAGTTTCAACAATCTATAGCCTACTCCTACTGTACTTACAACTCTTTTTTTAATGCAACACTATAGTAAGTAGGTATCTATGTTTAATTTTATTTGACACGCAAGTAAAAGAAACAGTATAGATTAATGATTTGGTTATGATAATCATGGTTTCTTTTTGAAATATACAAACTTACTCTTAATTCCTTAATTCTTACCTAAAGTGTATGCTTATAATATTTTCAGTCTTTTAATATTTTTCTCAGCTATCGAGTATCTCACAACAAATGATAATTATATTGGGTAAATGATGCTATTTAATTATAAAATTTTATAAACATACTTAGAGATAAGTACCTACATGACTGCCAAAAACTACTTTTGTTTGATTTGCGAGTTTTCGGGAATTGAAATTCTGTCCCGCAAAAACGGATATTATCGGCTGTTACTTATGAATATCTCTCGCCTGAGGCAATGGGTATGCGCTCTTGTTACTAATGTGGAAAGTTGTAATTAGCTGCGAATTTCTTCTTCTTCTTCTTCTGCCTTCTGACTAGGGCCGTGACCCTGTTTGTCTAGCCTCTAAAACACTGTTTGTCTAACTGTTTGTCTCTGCGAATTTCAATATTTATTTTCTGAAACAATTGGAGTTTTTTCATGTGAAAATCCACAGAACTTCAAAGAAGTTGCAATACACCTCCTCTCCTTGAATTTTGGTTCTGAGCGCATCTAATATCATAGGGTAAAGCTACATTCTCAACAATAATTAATCAATTACCTAAGGCAATTTGACAACGTCATCGTCCGCACAGCTAACAAAATTGGAATAGGTAATTGCCTTTGGTGATAATTATCCAAAGAGACTCATGTAAGAGAGTGACAAAATCAGCAGACAAGTTTTAAGGTATAAGCATGGATTTCCTGGGATTCAATATCAGTTCCCTATTCATTCCCGCCGATTTTCATCTCTGCCAACCTAAAGCAACCGAGAAAAAAGCCTGGTACAGGTAGTCTAGGACACCCTGTACAAGCAAGGTGGATAATTACAACCAACCTGCTTCAACCCATCTCCAGCGATAGGATGGTTATTTTTACAGACACGCTCCCTGGTGACGGTGAAAATGAGACTCATGGTATTATTCATTGAATTCTTGATTGAGCGCACATAAAATGTATTTATTGCATGATAATAGATTCACTAGCCTATAATTCATAGCCAGAGATCAATTGGTAACTGTCAAGTACATTTTATTGGAATTGCAGGATTATTACATGGGTTTGGGGGGAAGAATTTATGCTCACAATTTTAGAAGTGAACTGTGTGTTGTTGACGTATGCGTATGGTTTAAGTTTTGATTCGCTCCGTTTGTGTAGCGGATGTAGATTTTTCCAGCGATGATAGGTCAATGGAGGCGTTCAAGTTTTTCTCGCTGTACCTCTCAATTTGAGTCTCCAGAATGCAAATCTTCCGATTCTTCTCCTCCATTTCTTGCTGCAGTAGGATGAGCTGCAAAGAAGAAAGAGATTAAGTAATGTTTTGTCTTTCAGATTGTGAGAGGATAAACGAAAGTTACCTCTATCCGGACTTTCGATGAAACCGAAAATATGTTGAAATAAAATACAATTTTTTCCGAGCTATGAACAGAAAAAATCAAATTTTCATAACCGCGACATACAATTTGCAGGCCATTTTTTTCACTTCGTCAGATACCACCTTGATACTTTTCTCGCTACTTTTACTTGAAATGCGAACTAATTTCCAATAACGTACACGTTCTCGCTGATCGATCGACTTATTTGAAAATACTTGCAAACATATAATTTTTAAATTGAAAGATGAACAAAGATCATAAAAAATGATACATATAAATCGATGGTAAGTCTTCCTCCAGTGGCTGACATCTGCGTAATCTATATACACGCAACTATTTTAACTCTAGTGTAAGTAATGTTGCATATGCGGCGATTTGAAGGCGAGTAGAGAATGTACCAGCCAATTACAAGTCTGTTGCTTTACCAGAAAGGGTTTCATTTTATTTTTCTTTCAATTTTCAAACTTACCTGTCTTTTAAGGTCCATCAGTTGATCTTGCTCTTCTGAATCGTAATATTTGATACTTGGATTTGACAGGTTAATTTGAAGCTCATTCTGAAAAAACAGAAAAAAAGTTGACTATTTTAATAACGGAAATCACACGGGCGATTCGACTTTTCATTATCTCATTCTCGCGTTCCGAAGATGGGATTACGGGGAGATAGAATGGCGATATCGGTTATTCATTATTCTGTGTTTTTCTTCCTTTTCCTCAATATCGGGAAATTGTTTTGTTTTCAGTATTTTTAAATGTATCAAATGCTGCTTTTATGAACTCAACGAATGAATATCCAAACAGATTAAAAGGTATTCGATTTAGATTTACCCTTAAAGATAACCTTAACGAATGTATCTTGCTCGTGAACCTCTTTCTTTTTCAACAATCTTTCAATCTCACAGCTCTGTCTTGGCTCTGCTTCTTCAGTTTCTCTAGGTAATGGATCAGTTAGTTGGTTGTTTTGTTCATCAGGAGAATTGATTGAGAAAGCGGGAGTCAAAAGGGAAATATTTTACGAAATTTTGATTTATGATACAAAGGCCTGCGGCAAGAAATTAAAATAATTTTTTTTTACGAAATTTGGATTTATGATACCAACACTTCGGCAAGAAATTAAAAGATGAATATGTGATTTACGCACCTGATTTAAAACTCTCTTGAGTCTTAAGAGCAGTGTTTTAATACTAACAATGTCTTGAAAAAGATGTTGATAAGTGTTCTGATCCAACCGGATGCCAGAGTCGCTAAATGAGTTGTCAAACGGTGAATTTATGTTGCTCTGGACAAAATAAAATGAAAAATCAAATAGTACAAAATATCATTTTCATCCAATAAATATATTTATCATAATGTGTTACGTATTTGCGTATGATGTACTCCCCCCCATTTTTTAGCCTCAAATTAAATCAGCGGCAAGTGCGTGAGGAGTTTGTTAAAATGTCGTTTCAGTTGGACCACATTCTACAACTAGCAGCTGCAATAATTTCCAGCTCATTTTAGAAACAACCTATCCGCCGTTAGTATCCCTGTGCAGATAAGCGCTTTTACAAATGAATCAGAAATTTTAGTTCTTGATTGCAAATTGAAGTACAGTTAGTCTTGGGGTCATTCGAATTCATCGCTTAATCTGACACCGCATCATGTGAGCTTGACTAAAAAGGATAGATTTTGGTTTTTTGTTAGATTACTTGTTTATGAGAAATCAGTTGGGCGCTGTATTGGTTTAAACAAATTTTACTTTTCGAGGGCAATTAAGATAATTTTAAATTATTTTCTCATGCTCAGTCTTAAAATTGACAAAATACTTGGTGCGAATAGAATTCAGAGTATTGTGCGTTTCCACTTCATATCGATGGTGAAAGTGCAAAACCACGTGCCTTTATTGCGATTATTCAAAATGTCCACTCCTATTCTATATTTTACACGAGAAACAAGCCAACTGTTTAGCTTGAATTGACAGAGGTATTCTGCTTACACAGAAGAAAAATCAAGGTAGTTTTCAAGAAAATAGGTTGAATAGTTTTCCAAAAAAAAAAAAATTAAGTATGACAGGGAGTCTACAAAATTGCAAACAGAGATACGTGGTTTCACTTCTCGGCCATCGATGTGAAAATATCGAGAGCAAATGAGTTTCAGTTTGTTGACAGCTGTGTTCTGTTTTTAAAATGTTTTAACATTTTTCGTAACTATCAACGAATAAATACTTTAAATACAGCTCTTTGAGACAGTGAAAAATCTATTTAAACTTCTACTCACATTTCTTGACGATCTGAAAGGGCTGGAAGAAATTGCTGAGCATGGAGAGAGACTCCCACTGACAAAATTGGAATGCAATGTGCAGTTCGAAGTCCTATGACTGTTTGCCAACCTGCGTAAAAGGAAAATAATAGAAACCGGGTGATAAAATTAAACAGTGCGAATCATATCACAGGTTTCTTTCATTTTATAATCTTTTAAGAAACGAATGTATTTTCAACAATTTGGGTACAATTTTCGATGATTGTGCCGTCAAAAGTAAAGTATCTAAAAATAAGTTAGTATCGTACTTCTTTTCTCGTATTTTGAGATCAGTAAGTAGCTTCCGACTGAATACCTCAGGGAATGAGATCATTTTGCTCCCCTGACGTAAAGGCGAGTCTCGATTTTCCCATAAGCCATAGAAAGCATGGATTCATAGGTAAAAATACTGCGCGTGCGTTCAGCGGCGCGGCGGTCGGCGTGGAATGCATAGCGCCTACAAGACTGTAGGAATACTTCACGCATTGCGCCAAGCACAGTGCGGTCAGTGCGGCGCTGCGGTGGAAGTTAAAATTATCAAACCACATTTATGTTTGTTCTTGCATAATTTTTACGTTCATTTCTTACAAATGGAAGGCCTTGTTCACAAAGAGATAGGTTTACGGAACTTAACTTTTGCGCAAAGTTCCGTGAACTTTTGCTAGTAGTGTTGACAGGGCTTTCGCAAAAAATATACCCAACGCGAGTAAACGCGTCTTATGCACCCCTTCCCTCCCCCTCCGCCACGTTCACTTGATGGTTTTCATTGATGTTTCGAAACGAATGAGAAAGGGGCGGCAAGTAGGTAAATCCGACCCTGGTTACAGGAAAAGTGGAGGGATTGTGTTCTGTTTAAAACAGACGCATAACGAAGAGCTGAGCCTGTATGCATTTCCACAGCTAGGTCTCTCAATTGTATTTGTTTCTTCTTGTCTTCCACGGTCGCTTCTACATATATCTGTCATTCATTCCCTTATTTTACCTGTTTTCCTTTCCCTATTTCCCTGTGTGCTTACGTTCAGAGCCTATTAAACCAAGGCTGATATCCGAGCCGACAACTGCGTATGCGTAACATAAAAGGGTGACGCCTGACGCCTGATCACGCAACTATCCCTGCTCTATGGATGTGCGTGAAGTATACGAGATAAAATGAAGGCGCTTCGCTAACCTCGACAACGTTAAATCCTCCTACGGCATGACACAGCAAATTTGTAAACATGGCAGTTTTGCTAGCAATTGTCGCTTTGGGAGCTATTGAAAACTTCCTATTTACGCTCATAGCTTGTCTAATGATGCCTTGAATAGGAGACATAACTTACCGAGAATCATTATCAAGCTCGAGAGAGACACTAGAGTCATTCCGGTTGAAGTCGAGGACAAGATCATCAGAAGCTATGCTCTCACATGGCGAAGACGTATACATGGATGATTGACACTGATTCGTGCTCATGTTCAGGAGATGGCATACATAACTTTGTGCTGCAAAAAGTGGTTGGAATCGTTAGTGAAAAAAAAAATCTTTAAATTTAGATAAATAACTAAACATTAAAAGTATATCAATGGTAGAATGACCAAATCCACGTATTCGTGCTAAATGAAACTATGTGGAAGAGGGAAAGATGGGGTGTGCTCATGCAAGCTGCAAAGAAACAATGTGATCAGTGTATATGGCTCCTTTTGAGAAAATGGAAAAGCGGGATTTGACATTAAATCATAAGGAACTGGGCGCTAACTCGTGAGCCTTGTGGACAAGAGCCTTGTGGACAGGGCACATGAGTTAAAGACTGACGACTTAGGCGTCGGCGCTCCGCGCTCCCGTCGTTCGGAATTGAGCCCGGTCGTCACCGCTTACGTCACTGGCGCTTTTAAATCCCCATTTATTCTTACGGCCCTCAACTAACGAGCACACCCCATTTTTCCACTTGCACATAGTTCCATTTAGCATAAATACGTCCAAATCTTTATCCTAAAAATTTAAAGCTGAAACAAAAAGTTTACTAATTGACTAGTCCTCCTTTCCTCTTTCCCTCGTTCCTTCCTTTTTTCTTTCCTCTTTTTCTCCCTCCTTTTTTCCGATCAAATGGGGGAGGGCGGGGAGCGCCCATCCCCTACTAGATAGAGAATCCCTCTGCTCCGTCAATAGAGAATTTGCACGCAAATTTTTTATCGCTGTATTCACGAGTGCTTAAAGAGCCGATTTCGCAGTATTTTTTATCATTTTTTCACGCATGGGAATGGTGTAAAAATAGATTTGAAAGTAAGGAAACGTAATCCCTAGTAACGTCAATTGACGGCATTTTCCATTCCAATATATGTATTTCAGTTGATTAGATTATCCTGTCATATTCTCTCCAATAATTATTCGATTTATAAACCAAAAGTATCCTGGTGTTCAGTTCACTCACTGGTTTCCACTCAAGCATGAGATTCATCAAATTTCAAGCACCTGAAAATTCTCCATTAACCTTAGTCACACTATCAAAGCTAGTCATCGAGATATCAAGGTCAGGTGTTGCGATTGGCTGATCCGATGACTTGGACCAGTCACAGCACTTGACCTTGACATTTTGATGAAGGATTTCGACATTGTGACACAGGCTATTTACGCCGTAAGAACATTCGGGAGTTGCCAAATTTCCCCTGATAAAACCAGTATTTTTGAGAAAATTCATGCATATTTTTCCTTGAAATTTTCAGATATTTTAGATTAAACTGTGTACAAAAATCTCTGAAAATTTGAGAAAATAATATTCACAATTTCCCCAGTAAATTCGGTATTTATCGGAGGAAATTTGGCAACGTCTAAAGGCTCATGCGGCGTTCTTCCTTAGCACGGCAGTACTATGCCCAGTTGCGGTTTTCATGAACATTTTCCCCCACGAATCCAGAGTGTCCAAAATGAGGTTTGGCAGGAGGTGCTTACCTAGGTTTTCCTGTGTGAGGATGCCATTCCTGTTGGAGGTGGGGGGCTGTGTAACGGCGGGGG